TTATTATTATTATTATTTCTTTTTCATTTGGGTTTTTGAGGCAGGGCCTCCCTTTGTAGTTTAGGCTGGGCCTGAACTATGTAGCCCAGGCTGGCCTCAAAATCTCAGCGATCCTCCTGCCTCAGCCTACCAAGTGCTGGGATTACAGGCATGCACCACCACGCCCGGCTTCAGTTTATTTTTTATTATTATCCATTCTAATGTGTGTTGCAGTGGTTTTGTTTATTTTGATTGAGCTAGGGGCTTTATGCATGGTAGCTTCCGATGTGGTTTTAACTTACATTTACCTAAGGACTCCTGATGCACAGAGGTTGGTACCATACATCTTTCCATGTGCTTCGTGTGCTTGCTTGCTGTTCATCTTTTTATTTATTTATTTATTTATTTTTGTGGTACTTGGGATCAAATTCAGGACCTTGCAATTGCAAACCAGGCATGGTGCCAGGGAGCTAAATCCTCAGCCTTGTTCATCTTTTTTTTATGAGGTATCTTTTCAAATACTTTTAGTATAGATTTATTGAGATGTCTTATTAAATTTTGAAAATTTATTATGTAAATTAACATATCAGAAAAATATTTGCAAATATTTTCTCTTGATCTAAGGATTGTCTTTTCATTTCTTAATAGTGCCTTTCTCCAAAGTATAAATTACAAACTTTGATGATGGAATATTCATGATAAATTGCTTTTTTATTTTTAAATGCATTACTTTCTATTTATTAAGTCTTTATTAAGTCATTTTATTTTTTAATGATATATCATGCTTTTAATACAAACTTTTAAAAATCTGGAACAATATAAACTGTACAGATTTGATCCATCTTTTTGTTTTGTTTTTAAACTAAATATCTAAACACACCAATGTTCCATTCCAAAATATTGCACAACATTCTGAATACAAAATGCTTGATTGTATTCCTCCTTCACTAAAGAAAAAAAGGTTATTACACTGCTCCCCTGGCCCCTCTCCATGCTTGCCTCAATGTCCCCTTCCTGTTCCTAGGGAAAAAACTAGAGAATCTAGAGTCACCACATTGAGAAAAAGACACCATTCTGAACTGACAGTGTATAATCTTTACAAGACAATTCACCTTCAACTTGTTCCTGGGAAAGAGGGATAGACAGGATGGGGAAAGGGGAGAAAAGGGTTTTAGTCTCCTTTTTTTATTTTAAAGTTTGTTGTTTCCTGAAAATATATTGGTTTCTTTCCTCTTTTTAAGAAAAAATCTTGAAAAGAAAAAAATTACATTTCTTACATTAGAAATATACATATATTATATATGCCTCTTACATTTTACAAATGTAGCAAATTATTCAATACAGATGCCAAAAATGTAAAAAATTTTTAAAAAGTTTTCCTATGAAACCAGGTAAATTAGTGCAGGTTTTTGTTTTCTTAAGAAAATAAAATTGAAGCAAAAATGCCTAGATTTGAGACAAGACTGAGCTGGGCCCAAAGCCCAGGCTGGAGTCATGCTCCTGAACACACATTTTTCTTCAGATTTCCAAAGACACCATGGGGCTGGATCTCCCTGTCCCTGGTGTGCTGAGAAGCACTGGGGAGCAAGGCAGCCTGTGTGTGGGTGGCTCCTGTGTGCATGATGCAGCTGGAAGGGGGCATGGCAGATCCAACCTTTCCCAGAGAAAGAGGTCTGCCTGGGCTGTCACCTGCGCAGGAGCTGAGGAGGAGGGCGAGGGAGGCCCAGGCTGGGTAGACTGGTGCAGGGGACAGATGGTGCTGGGCTGAGAAGCCCAGGCCTTGCCCCACCAGGGGAGGTGGCGCCGGTGCCCATTAAGTCTTTTTCTTAAGCTCCACTTTATCAGCTATCAATATAGCCAACACACCATTTCAAAGTATGGCATTTATGATATATTTTTTCTCTTTGGGGACTTCTCTTTCTACATTTCTATTTCTATTTTTTTCTATTTCCCTTTGTACTCAAAGTTCATCTCTTTTAAAAAGAATTGGACTTGGCACTGCTCTTTTATCCAGTCTGATAATCTCCATAACTGAATGCTACATCTTTTAAAGTCAGTCAAATTACCCATATGATTAGTTTTCAGTTTACCATTTTCTTATGTGTTGTTTCTTTGTCATATTTGTTCTTTTTCTCCTTTTCCTCCATTTCTCCCTTATGCTGAACTGCTATTGCATCACTTTGGGTATAAGAACTTTATCTTTTCAAATTTTTGTGTTATTGATGTCATCAATTTTCCTTCCATGTGCATTTTAATAAAAACTTCTGTTATTATTTTTACTTTAAGCTACAGACTGACAAATATATTCTTTTTTTTTT